AATCCCCTCCAAAAAAACCTCGATGGAGGAATAACCTTCTAGCAGACCGAAATCCACTTCTAATGGTGTTTGGGGGGCAAAAGATGGCCAATCATATGTGTATTTGACCAGATGATGTACTAATTTATCCTCATAAACATTCAGACCCGGAGGGCAACAAATTGGATGAAAGGTATTAAGCCCTCAAAATTATAACTTCCGGCCTAGATAATAGCTAAAAATTTCTAGGTGTCCTATTCATCACCCAATGGAAGTATCATGCCAAATTCTCACTCATTATTTAAAATTTTATATGCCTTATTATTCTTCAGAGAATATTAAACACATAAAATTTGGAAGGTAATGTTTACACCATAGCTATCGGCCATTTCCAGTTGGAAAGGTTGCCGCCATGGCCAATTCCAATGAAAGGGTTGCCGTTTTCCATGAAAGGGTGATACGTAGATAAGGATGCAATCATGAAACGACACGTAGCTTCATCAGAGCGACATCTCCTATTCCATCATTTTCATTTTCCATGAAAGGGTGATACGTAGATAAGGATGCAATCATGAAACGACACGTAGCTTCATCAGAGCGACATCCCCTATTCCATCATTTTCATTTTGGCACTCTCCTCCATCGGGGTTTATCAAATGCAATATGGATGCTTTGTTTTTTAAGGAATGGAAGATTACTGGTGGTGGCGCTGTGTTCACAGACCATATAGGAGGCAGTGTTAAAGCGATTATTGTCCATCAATTTCAGGCATCTAGTGCTCTTGAAGCTGAAGCCAATTGCTTTCGTAAAGTAGTATTATGGTCAGTTTCTGAAAAAAATTCACATGTCCATTTCGAATGCGATTCCTCATATGCATCCAAGACTGTTGCAGATTAGCCATATCATTCGACATGGCAATGAGGCCCCTAATGCCATTGCCAAGCTTTTAAGGATGCATCTGTCCAATGCTATTCAGGTCCTCAATTGTAGTGATCTTTTATCCTAATTGTTGCTTGACAACGCCAAGTGCACAGAAGAGAATCAAGTCAAACCTTCAGTTGAATAAATGTGAAATCAATTAAGTCGTTATGTTGTACCTATGCATCACTTCTATGAATTCTATGTAAATAGAAAAATAAGTGTCAGAGGAAGTGCACGGCCACATAGGATAAGAATAATAAATAAATAAATAAAAATCACTGAATTAATTAACAAAGACCAAGGTATAAAGCCATTAAAGATCACATGCAGAGTCTATATTCTCAGAATGAAGCCTCCCTTACTGCAATTAAAAATATCTAACATTCTTCCATTGTCTTTTTTTCTTCTCATGATGTAAGAAGATTAAGGATTAAAACTAGCTTTCAGTACTAAAAAAACGAAAGAATCTACACTCTTTTTTTTCTCTTCAATGGGTGGTGGGAAATACACTTCAAATCGATGAAATTACAGCCTTACAGATTATAAGATGGGAATAACCCGGGTGTAATGTCTTGCCTAACTAACATACGTTCCAAAATCAATTTATAAAAACCAGTATGAAATTTAGTATAAAATTTGAACTAAATTTCTTCCAATTTCAAATCCAAAGCGCCAATTCGACACTCCCAAACATAATATAGTTAAATTATCTGCGCAAACAATGTTGCCCTTTTTTCCATAATCACCAAGGCATACGGCAAAACATAAATAAGTGATATTGTCAAACAATAATATACACAGATATACAAAAAGTTAAAAACTGGAAATAGCAGTACCCCATGCTAGTCTCAAAAAGCCACACAATCAATTTAAAGCAAGCATTATAACAATCTTAAGAATCACACTGCATTACAACACACTTGAGACAACAACACTTCTTGGTCAAGAGGGATATTTAAAAGTAAACGAAAAAGCACAGAAATTTCTCACCCTTTTTGCTACCCATGCATCTAGATAGTGTCTTATCTATAAATATAGAAATTTCTATTTTTGGTCAAGAGGGATATTTAAAAGTAAACGAAAAAACATATGGGTGACAAGACCCTTCAGGAATCCACAAACGTACATACGGATTGATACAACTAGCAAGGGTACAAAACAAGACTAAGCATAACATTAAGGATTGATACAACTAGGAAGGGTACAAAACAAGACTAAACATGACATTAAGGAACATCCTTCCTTTCCAAGATCAACTGCGCAGAAATTTGCTTCCCTGTATCAGTGACTAATTTTCTTCATTCCTTCTTGGTGCAATCAGATCATGAGAGCATAGGATAAGATGGAAAGTCTCGCAATAGTTGTAAAGAAAGCTAGTCATGATTCAAAAATAGAACTAGTATAAGTTGTGGAGCAAATTCATCAAGACGCAAAAGTACAAAAAATTACCAACTAAGAAAGAAAGAAAAAAAAAAAAAAAAAAAACTAAAATACAAAAATTAGCAAGTTTCATAGTAGTACTACAAAGACAATAAACAAGAAGTAGAGATGAAAATTAACAAGACGAGGAGAAAAATATATAGAGTGCAAAAGTTGCATTTTTCCGTTTTGTTACAAAAAGAGAACGATATCATAGTTTTGAAAAGAATAGGACAATAACCCTAAGCTCTGATGTATTGAAGCGGAAAGCAAGTTAGCTAGATTAACTAACCTTAACAAAATTTTGAATATTACCTTTATTAATGACAAGTCAAAAATTAACTAACTTAACAAAATAATGATTAAAATAACCAACTCATCATGCAAATTATAATATATCCACAATAGAAATGCAGTAAAATAAAAAGCAATATGGACGCAGAGAATTTTTTTTTGATAAGTATATGAACGCAGAGATTTTTAAATGCAAACCTCATGGGAAATATTATTGGACCTAGTTTCATTAGATCAAATCCACCATATGTGAGGGAAATAGGTCACAACTAAGGTGTCGTTTGATAATCCATTCAGTATCTAATTATGAATAGATTCAACATAAAATTAATTACGTTTAATAATGTAACAAGGGTACCACTTAAAACAGGGTAAAATTTTAAGTGATTGAAACTTCACTTATGACTGAACATTTACAATTAAAAAAAAAAAAATCTTAATTTGTAATTAGGATTTAAATTTTCAGCACTTAAAATTCAGCTTTTAAAATTTTTAATACTTAATTTTCACTTTTACCAAACAACACCCAAGTTAACCATTCCAAAACCCTAGAACCCCTAGTCATCTCCAAATGCAGACCGTAGCCAAACTCGTCACTCCAGTTTCCAGGCCATCAGTCCGCTCCATGATCAGATTTGCTCCTCACAAGATCTAATTCTCCCAACACTTAAGTCTGTGCTCTAGTCGTCCGATCCAATCTTTGTTGAGTAACTAGCTAATGTTAAACTCGTTATAGGGATGTAGATGATCAACCATATATGTTCTATACATAACTAGTATGAAATATGAATTATGAAATTTATCAAAAGATTGCCAGAAAAACTCTTAGAAAGATACTATTTAGATAATATATAATGCATGCACTATATTATTCTTATGTCTTTTATATATAATAGCATAAATACATTTTACTCAATTGAATATGGAAGGAGATGATTTCAAATGTGGGGATGGGTGCCTTGTATTTTCTTGTGGATTTGGCTGTCTTTGACGGTTGGTTATAGCTCTTTTGCTTTGTTTTGGGCCTTTTGTCTTGGCCTATATCTTAGGGTACGCACTTCTTATATATATATATATACACACACACACACACACACACACACAATTTCCCTCAATTTTTGCATATATATATATATATATTTTACTCAATTACAGTATAAGCAATGTCAATCAGTAAAGCATAGCTAAGGAGCAATTCAATATAAACTTATGAATGTAAAGTAAAATGTGTGAGTTATGGATTTAAAGCTAGGGATGAAGTTGTATGTTCCCCTCCCAAAGGTGGGGCTGAGGGTTCTAGCCCAAGGGAGACATTTGTGAGTTAATTTACCAATTGAAAAACAAAATGACAAAATTTAATGAAAAGCGAAGAGTCAATCATTTTGTCAGTGCAAATAAAATTGAATACAAATCAAGTCTAATTCGTAACAGAGCCACCAATACAATTCAACAAAACTGTAAGAAAGTCATGTAGTGAAACCTTGAACACCCTTATTCTAAACAGTTGTATTGAAAAGTAAATATATACTAATCTATAAATAATAAGAAAAACATAAAGGATTCATCTCAATTCTAAAATCCTAATAGCAACTCAACATATTGTCCCATTAAGTAATCATACTGATGGTGAGGAGTCGAACTTAAAGAAGAAACAAGGCATGTGTCACAAGATATTTTCCCAAGCAACAAATTTTCTTGGACAAAATCATGAGAAAATTAAATCAAAGAAAAATCTAATTCATAATAAGCATAAGTACATATTACTTGTCTACACAACAAAATAATGTCAATTCAATATAAACTTATTAAGGCAAAGTTAAATATTAACATGTTGTTACAAAATTACAGGATAACAAAAAAAATGTTTCTCACCCAGTTTGAAATCCTTAGTTTCAAAAAAATGAAAAAAGAAAAAATTTACAGAGAAAAATTAAACCATTTTGAGAACAAGAAAAAACCTGTATATACATCTGACATTTAAAACTTCATTATAAGAGGAGTCTAGTTTATAATAATCAAACACATTTTATTCAGGTATAAGTGCAAAGAAATGATAACTAATAAGGCATTCAAGGGAGTATTACAGCATACTGGTGGAACTGTAAGTGGTACGAGACTAGTATGAATTGACATTCAAAATCCTCAAACATTCTGCCAGTGGAAAATCCTTCAGTGAATGAAAGTTCAGAGACAAAAGTAACTGCTTTGAACCCTGATCCAATACCATAAACCCTGAGTTGAGTAAAATTCCTTTGTTTTGGATTATAAGAAATCAGAGTACCCCGACATGACATCAAGATCTCTCCATCTTTCCAAATTGTGATTAGGCAAAGTGGTCCATTATCCAGCCCAGACGGAATTGTGTTTTTCAAAATGCAATCTTTAGTTCAAGACGTAGCAACTCCATAATCTTTCAATGACCATATATCAAGATGATGCCAGGAATTGTCATATACACAGAGACAGTTCCCTAACACTCCCAATCTGACATAACATTTTCCATTTTCAAAATTTGGAGGCAGTGGAATTGGGTGAAATTGTTCATCCTCGATATCAAAAGAATATATACATTCTGAACAAAGGACAATCCAATGAACAGCCCCATTCAGAGAAACCCCACACTGATTTACCAAAAGTTGGAATGGAGCATCTCCCAGTTTTCTCCATGTACCAGATGTAAGAGTACAAACCTCAACCGTTTTACTTATTATCATTAGGACCTTATACTGGCCTGTACCCGAACTGCATCCAAATCCAAACCCATAAGCCACACGAATAACTTTATACTCAGGTTTTGGAAGGGCAACATATTCTCCAAAAATTGGGTTGACTATGTAAACATGGTCAATAGTTTGGTAGTAATCAGAGAAACAGAGCAAACCATTACAAGAACCCACTAATTCTAGCTCTCTGTGAGGGATGTAAAATGTCATTCTAAAACACATTGGTCTGTGAGGTTCAATCGCATTGGCATGTGGGAGCCACATTGGTTGATGAGCGTACTTACTGTCATGTCCAAGTTTGAGTGGGTTTTTGAACCACATTGGTCCGTGAGGCTGGTGAGTGTAGTTATAGTCATGGTCATGTCCAAGTTCAAGCAAGTAGAAACCATTATGCACACGAAACACAATATTGATGAAGGCCGATCTTGCCAGCCGAACATTATTGAAAACACACCTGCACTGTAGGAGGGTCCTGATTGGAAGCCTTGAAAGAATAGCCACAATGATGAAGGAAGGAAGATCCATGATGGAAACACCAGTGTTTTTTGCTTTCCATTATGTTGATTTCTGTTTTCTGCTTCTTCTTTGCTTGAAAGGGTTGTTGCTAAAGTCTTCTTCTGCATCTTTTGCACACAAATATCGCTTAGATTGTTGCCTGTGTATGTTTAACTGATCGCACACCCAAAACACACAAGAAAAAACTTGAACATAAAGGTCCCTACTATTTGCCATCTCTGTCATTTGTTCCCAAATCCCTATGTTAAACAAACCTTTCATTCATATTTCAAACATTCCCTATACACAAATTTCATAAAATTTAACATTCAAACATTAATTAAAAACAAAAAAACAAACCAGATGACAGTGAGACTCTATTTCTTCATGGAAAAGGCCTCTTGAAGCCTCTTGCAATCAACCAAATAAGCGAACCCATAAGCCATATTCTTCAAGGTGGCCTCATGCAACTCCGGCAACGACGTGGCCGTCGCGTCCGTGGAGAAGAAAACCCTAAACCCTCTTACGAACGCCTCCCTCGCCGTCGTCTCACAGCACAGGTTCGTCATCACCCCACTTACGATCACTTCCTCAATTCCCATCTCCCGCAGACGCTCCTCGAGGCGCGTGCCCCTGAACGCGCTGTATGTGTTCTTCTCCATCACCTCGCCGTCGCCAGTGGCTCTCCGACCCACCTCCGGAATCAGCTCCGCCTCGACGGTGCCGTCCAGGACGAGGTCGTCGTTCCACCACTCGCCCAGCATCCCGTAGTCGGCGGCGGACTTGTGGCAGTGGCGCGTGAAGATCACGGGGACGGAGGCGTTGCGACAGAGATCGATGGTGGTTCCGATGGCCGGTAGGATGGGCTCAGCCATTGAGGAAAAGTAGTTCTGCATGTCGATTACTAAGAGGATAGAGGTTTTGGGATCTGGGTTTCGTTTCCTGATTTCAAATTTCTCGTAGGAAGAAGAGGTAGCCATTGAATTGACTGATGTGCAGAGGGGAGAAGGGGAAGTGAAGAGTAGCGTAGGAGGTTTGGGAAGCAATTCAAGCAAAAGGAAAGAGAAATGAAGGGTTTTGGTTGTTTTATCAATCAGATAATGTTTCCGATGGATGGAGAATTACAGATTGACCCTTTCTTTCTTGTGTCAATGGCACTCCTCAGTTTATCATAAAGGCATTCATTGCCCTATTTTTTAACAATGAAATTTCTTAAAGTTTTCTTCTTTTAATACACCCAATAATGTAAAAGTTTCCCCTTAATAACGTAACAATTAATAAAATGACTTAAATATCAATTCACTTATTAGTTGACTCTTTCAAAAACTAAAATTACCCAACATACTCATTCTAACTAACATAAAATGTCCAAAATAATCACTTCATCTCAAATACCTACCCACACAACCACCACTGACACCTCCTCTCGTCTCTCCTACCAAGCATCACTCTACCTCTACTATTCTGCAATATATGGATACACACATATATAAACCAAAACACACAACAGGGCCGGCCCTGGGCATAGGCGACCACCGCCTCCAATTTGAAAGGGCCACAAAATTTTAAATTTCCTTTTATATATATATATATAGTAGGCAAGGAGAACTAGTAAAGGTTGCTCCCCTTTCATTGCCACTACTATTTAGATTATATATTCATATTAAGATTCCCAACTGACGCTTTCAGGCTTACTGATTTCTTCGAGCACAATGCTCAGGACTATAGAAGCCTTTATTTCGTAGCTGAACCGGGCTGCATTAAACTCGATGGGGAAGTCATCTTAAATCTAGAGTTACATTCATGGTCATTTTGCATTCTTCTCTTTTTATTTGCACAGAAAACCCTGAATTCCATTAAGGTATTTGTTCTACACTTCATAGAATAACAAAAAGTTGTTATTTTTTCCATCTTGTTTTTCTCTTGCGTATTTTTTTTTCCACACGGTTTACAATGCAACCAAACAAGTTGGGAAATGAAATGCCCTTTAATTTTATTTTATTTTATTTTATTTTTTCTTTTTCCTTCTTGGTTTCCAAGTTCCAAATGGATTCTCCAACTGCTGAAGCTCCAACCTTTTTGAAGGTTGTTGAATCTATTAGCGTACCACCCTTTCATTGTTTTTGACATTCCTTGGACATAATTCATTGTTCTTGTGAATTCATATCTTAATGAACCACACAAGCACATGTAATTCTACTTTGCATAAGTTATTAAATTACTTTTATTTGTTTGATTAAATTCTACATATGTTTGTAGATCTAGATATGTTCTGCCTACAATGTGGTTATCAATAACAGACTTCTTGATCTACAGGAAAAGAATCTATTCACTTTGGGTCTTGTCAGGCCAATAGATCCAGATTGCGACATCTTTGGCTTTGAACTGAATTACTGTATGTGGTGCTTCAGCATCAATTCCTTGAACACCAATAGGGTGTTTCATCTGTGCTGTAAGAGTACTCAGGTGTTGCCTGAATTTCTTATTGCATCCAATTTTATGCATTTTCCATACTCCATTTATTTCATTGTAAAAATTGTATGGAATACCAGGATTCCTCAATGCTTTATTAGTTGCAGTACTTGTGCACGCAGGAAGAAATAAAAACTAGAATCATGTTGGAGCTCACATGGACTAGAGCATGTCGTGAACTTTGACAAGTTCAGCTATTTAATACTATGATGAACTAGGCAATTGACTAGCAATTTTCGAAACTGTTAGCATATATGATAGCCACGATTTATGGAATGACCTACCATATTAGCATATATTTGATTTAATTTCTTTTCTTGTAATATGAACATGTGCTCTTATTTTATCTATAAATACTACGAATGAGTGATTGATATCATTCAAGCCTTTGTATATTATAAATCTCATTCAAACCTTTTATATATTTCTCTTCTCTTTCTTCTATATTGTATTTCTACTGAAACACATGCAGACTTCTGATAGCATCATTTTGGTGATTACTCAACTACAATGTGGCCACTAGCTTATATGAATTTGGCTTCTTTTTGCAATCATTGTTTGGTTCTGTGGTAGAAACCCAGCCTAACAAGTGTGAGCATCTGTTTTTTTACTCCGCCCCAACTGTGAGCATGAGAGAATTGAGAATTGAGATGAAGAGTTTATGTTTTTCTCTATCTAATTTCAATTAGACAGAGACCTAAAATTTGGCATATTTTTCCAGTGTTTATTGTGAGCATGAGAGAATTGAGATGAAAAGTTTATGTTTTTCTCTATCTAATTTCAAGTAGCAAAAGCAATAAACACTGGAAAAATATGCCAAATTTTAGGTCTCTGTCTAATTTCCTCTCTGAGAATCTAATGACGTTTTTTCATTCAGTTAGTGAGCCAAGGCCACGTTGAGTCATTGCACCTGTGACGGAGATATTTGTAGGGGTGGGTGTGTGTTCATGTTCATGTTCAAGTTCAATTCTTATTGGTAATTCATGGCCCCCTCCCAAAATAGAGAAATATAATAATTGTCTCAATAATTTTAAGTATTATTATTTTTGAAATTCCTGACTTGTGACATCTATGGATGCTTTTGCACAGGATATATGGATGTGAGTGGTGGTTCTGACACTGGAAAACATATGTAGAATCACAAAATGGGAGCCTGATGCAACCGAGAAACTCTATCCTTGATTATTTGGCGCATATCTTATACTAGGTGACATACTTTGCTCTTGTCTCATATCTGTTCAACATTAGAAACCATTGGAATTTCATGCAGTATTTATATGTTGCGTACAAGTTTACTGTAATTCTTGTGAGCAAAATGATTTATATATTTTTAACTCTAGTCGGAGTGGGACGAGTTTTGTATTAAAAATTAGGTTGTTGGTTATGTTTGAATGTGATAATGCCAGAGAATTGGGATTAAAAGTTATGTTGTTCTCTTTTTGGAGGGAGGGGAAGCTGCTTTCAAGTTTCAGTAAGTTTTCGAAGCCACCAACCTGGAATTCACAAATAAATGCTCTGTAGGTTTATAAAAATTATTGCTTTTTTATGATATGAAACTGATAAATGTATGCAGTCTTCATATCAGAAGTTGTTCTTTAGCTTAGATGATCAATTGATAGATGTTGTAGATGTACTAACAGTACACCAAGTAAAACAATACATCCATATAGAAATAAACAGGTTCTATTAGACATATTTAAATCTCTGTTTTGTTCCCTTACGCCAGAAATCCTTTGATTGCATGCTTCCATTGTCATTCAAACACATTTTTGTTTTCAGAACTTAGAAAAAAGGATGGTTCTTGTATATGCTGATATTCAATCTGCTACGTAATTCAATTTATGAAATCTTATGTTTGCACAATGACTTTATATTACAGTATATGCATTGATCTTTATATATGAAGTGTCTTCCCTATTCTTTGCGCTCTCCTAGCTTGCTTCGAATGGATTCTACTAATTCTACTGTATACATACCAATGAGATACCAAGTAACACCTGCTAAAATGACCGGTAACCAGGAGCTATTGACAATGCCCAACGCGAATGATCCGCCTATGTGCTCTTCCAATCCACCAGTACTTGCCTCTTCAATCTGCAGGCGTGCTAAAACTGCCGCGATTGTGGCTGCCCCCATAGGAACAGCCCACGTGAAGGGGCTGCTCGGGGTTCTCTTCCGTGCTATAAATTCTTTGTTGTTGTTTGCTTGATTCGGTTCCTTTGGAGGGGAAGACTCTGAGGCATGAGCTCGAGAACCAGCATTGTCATTGGTAGGCTCGGGAAGAATGAGAGTCGATGGAGTCCAGTACTCCTCATTCAGATAACTTGATGAGATCCCAGAAATGCGTTTCACATTCTGCCTGGCTTGTTTTCTAGCAGCCACAGCATCACGAAGTTTTTTGATGTCTGGTTCAGTGGATTTTCGGGCAATGTGTATCAGATTTTGGGGAGTTTGTGTGGAAGCTCCTCCTGCAGAAGAGGGTGATTGCCAGTACAACCAATTTGAGATCGCTCTGATTGCTTGAAAAGCTGAAATTCTTGATTCTCTTCCGTCGTCTGATTCCTAAAGTTACATGTTTCGCAGTTAAAATGGTATTTGACAGCAGAAGAAACACAAATTTGAATAGAAAAAGAAAAAATTTATATGGTCGATCCCATTCTGTTAGGAAAAAGGCAAGAATGATGATAATGAAGGTTTTCAGCCAATATTTTTTATATAAAACCTTCAGCAATCAAATTACCTTGGATTGTTTTATGGAACCTTTGTCCATGACATCTTGAAATCTAGACTGAAATTTCTCCACATCGACAAATATATTAGAGACACGTGTACCGACAGCATTTCCTGCACCAACTCTGACATTGCCACGTGGCTGCTTCGACATTAGGAATTCCAAGGCTGCCAGGTTGGACCTCTCTACAACCCTAAATTCAGTCCACCAAAAAAAAAAATTCTAAATGATTAGCAAAAACCACCATGTTACTTTCAGTAGCCATAAATACACTGCCATTTTGTTGAATTGCAAATAAACCTACCCTTCTTCTTTCTTTGTTTTCTTTTCTGTTTAATTGTTTTTATCTGATTTGTAAACTCAAAATATTTTCTTGGCATAACTTTTTTTTTCTTTTATTTTTCTTAGTAATGAAAAGATTCAACTCATCTGCCGGTCACTTTGAACTCTAATCCACAAATCACTCGAATCATTTAAAGCCAAGTCTCATCCGAGTCATCTTCAGTGAAACTCGAACCAACAATCTAAATGTGCTCCTATACATATATGTGTATATATATACATGTCATGCTAAGAAATGAGAGAGATTCTTACGAGATGCAATCGACTGGACATGTTTCAATGGCCTCTTGAATTTTATCTTCAGGATCAGCCCATTGAGCAACCACCCGTGCTCTACCGTAAACCGATTCAACAGCAAAAGTCTTTTCGGCAAATAAGGCACATTTTAAGCAGCCAACACATTTGACTTCATCCACAAAAACAGCTCTCTCTTCATTCTCCGAACCAAACCACACCGAATATATCGGTTTGCCTGTATAGCCTAGTAATTCTGCCATTTTTGCGTGTTCCTTCACCATACAATTATTTACAGTAAGTCCATGTGTGTGACAAAGGAGATTCAAGAATCAAGATAGAAAAGTAAACACATCAAACAAAGAATATAAATATTTATACGTAATTCGGCAGCAGTTTACATTCACGGTTGAGATACGACGAGAATTTTCACTATGTGTAAAATCAAAAATTACAAGTTTTCAGTTCCACTGTGTTTCTCTATGAATTTTAGAGTCTCTCACTTAGGCCACTCCAAAGTGTACGTCGGGGTACAAGAGACTAATTAGGGTCAACGACCCAGTTAAAAATTAAATTTTCATGGATTGTCGGGTCATAGACGGATCGCAACGTGAACCGACACCAAATTCGGGCCATAACATTACAAAACTAAATCAATTGAATGCAAGTGGCAAACACGTGATGCTCTAAATATGGTTGCGATACATGTATTTATAATAATAGGAAAAATAATAATAATAATTAACAGCAAAACTGCATAAGAAATCCAGAAAACAGCCCGAAGCACTCTCTAAAAATTACGAAAAATAGGAGATAAAACCTAATCACTAAAAAAAAAAATTAATAGCAAAATTCAACCATCCCCAAAAGTTCAGCTAGCTTCCTATAACCTTTAAAAAAAAAAAATTCAAAATGAAGCCCCAAACGATTAAAAAAAAACACAAAGAATTTCACTTAAAAAGCTGGTGAGGCCCTATTCTGATTGCAAATGGTTCTACGCAATTTGAAATGGGATCATTGAAAATGCTTCGAAAATTTTGTTACCCTGCCCGTTTGACCTTTAAACAGTATAAACGATTCTCATAGTCCTCGATAATTCGTTCTACATCAATGTGTATATATATAATTTTATCATAAGATATCTAATATTAATTAACAATTATAATTTGTAGATCACTTGGAGACCCACTAATTAAATCTCCATATAATCATATGAGGCCACTGATGCAAATGATACATGTATGACGTATCCAAAACATCAAATCATTCAAATACAGAGCTTGTAAATAAACTATATTCACACAAACACACACACATATAACACATCAAACTAGTAACGGACTGACCTTATCATACGCCAATCTTGAATTGGGTTCAGAGAGAACGGCATAAGCATCGTTGAGTATGATAGCCATGTCATGGCCTGCCGGTCCAGCTATGTCCGGGTGGCACCGCTTCTGCAGCGCTCTGTACGCCGTCTTTATCTTCGACTGATCGGAAGAGCTGTCAATGCCCAGAAGATCATAGAGATCGAAGTCTGTGATCGAAGATGATGAAGATGAAGTGGAAGCTCTGCATGTAAGTGAAATATTACTCGGCTTTCGTAGAGTTTCAGCATGAAAACTAAAGGTTTTGGGGTTTGGATTTGTGGTTATGGTTGAAGAAAAGGGAGCGGATAGAGGGAAGCTTGGGGAGAGCATTTTGTTTGGGAGAAGATGAGAGAGAGAGAGAGAGAGAGAGAGAGAGGCATTGTTTTTGCATTCTTTTGCATGACGTAGAGAGATAAGACGTTTTTTTTGCCAATTAGTTCGAAGGCCAGCCACACATTATTTGTTGCTCAAATGAGGAAAACACTTTTGCCCATTTGCTATGAAAAATTGGTTAAAACTTCGTGTCCACCACATAAGGACGGAAAAAGTCACCTCAACAGTCAACCCATACAAATGTGTCCACATAGCGAGCCGTTTAACTACATACAAAACGTGCAAGAAATAGTCTTCCCCTATTTAGTTACAACTTACATAGAGCATGCGCACTGGATTTTTCACTCTTCACAAACGTCACTTCAATATTTTAAAAAAATGACAGTAAACAAGCATTCTATCTGGCTCTTCAAATTTTTACTCTCCAAAAGAAAATTTGATATTTACATTTTTAACCTTTGTCTATTGTCTATAATTTCATCAGTTATATCCCTGACGGTTATATTTCTAACTGGTATATTAACTATTACAGTTTTTATTATGTAATAATTTTTAAGATTAAAAATGATAGGATATTTTTCAATCGAATAATATCTTTACAAATTATTAAAAAAGTTAGGATTAATATAATAATTTCCAATAATACATTATCCATTATGAAACAATGCCTAAAATAATATATTTTTTATTTAATAAATTTTATTTAATTTTTTTAATATAAAAGAAGCTCAAAATAACCCATTTTTGGGATTGTTGCCAGATTTTTTTAAAAAAAAAATAGAGCGTCGCGTCCAAAACGCTAACGTTCTAGGAATAATGATTGTTGCCAATTTTGCTCGCGGAAATTAGGTTCCACGAGCAGGCTACATATGCTCTTAGGGACGAGTTGGTATGCATTTTGTTTTGGTATTTCTGTTTTTGATGTGTACTGAAGTAGTGAATAATGAAAAAAACGTGCTTGGTAAAAAATATTTTAGTTTATACGATGTCAAAACGTTTCGTGAATAGTGGCTGTAACGACCCGAATTTTTCAACCCGGTGCGTTAGTGATGAACCGGAAGTTGACCCGATAACGGACCCGAAATGCGGAAGCGAAAGAAGCCAAATGACCTCAAGAGATGTACGTCATCCCTAAGGCACCAAAATGACTCTCCATGAAGCTACGGAACTCAAATGAGCCAAGCAAATGAAACAAGAATGCCTAACCCGAAAAGAGATGAAGTAAGGGCAAAATGGTCATTTCTCACTGAAAAGGGTGCCACCGTGCACACCATTGGAAGGACAACGAAAAATGAACAAAATTAGACTCAAGAATCGTCTGATTCTGGTCCGGGCAAAAAAGATATGAAATTCCAACACCCGATGCGAAAGTTATGAAGTAATGACTTAACATTTTCCAATATTTTCATAATAAACTTTGAAAACAAAAGTGCATAGAAAACGAGATACATGTCATTGGCCTCTGGCCTCATCTCATACATGTTAAATACATTGAAAATAGTACACCTACGTACACTTTACATATACGAATCAACGAATACAAGTTTAAACAAAAAGGGCTACAAAGAGGCATCTTATGCTAACACTTGCATAAAATAGAAACTTAGAAACTGTAAGCCATCCAAAGAGCAATGGAATCTTCAAATCCAGAGTCATGTACCTGAAATATGCCCCAGTATCATAGGGGTGAGTAACATAAAGCTACTCGTAGGAGATGAGCATGCATCGACCTAGTATTTTACAATTTTATCACCTTATTGTGAAACATGTTAAAGGGGCTCATGCCACCTAACGTCTATGTCAAGATGAGACTCAAGGAGCATCCTAAGTTACCTAGATCATTTCTATCATAATCACATTGTTCATGCAATTCAAACAACATGGAAACATGTTGTACAAGACAACAAGATATAGATTCTCAAAGTCTTTAACTTGAAATCCAAAATACGAAAACAACAAGTGTGGGTCATGCCACCTAACGTCTATGTTCAAAATGAATCTATAAGGTCATTCCTAAACTACATTTGAACATCAAAACACAAATTATGATATCGATGCAATTTAACCAACAATGGAACTTCCAATACAAAGCATGAAGCATGCTTTCACAAAGCTACATCTTAAGCTCAAAATAGGAAATCAAATAAGGAACAACAAGTTACGATATCATCTAGTTATCAACTTGAAATGAAATACGAAATCAAACAAAGTGGATACTCGGACGTCACGCCGGATCAGACCGACAACATAGTTACTTTAGGGTTACTAACCCATGGGTAACCTCTCTATGTGCGCACTAGACTATATAGAGGGACAATCTCCCGTACTAGAACCAAGTCATAGCCGTAGCCAAACAACGACATCCCCAAGTTTCCAAAATCAACAAATTGTGCAACAACGTATATATATCAACATGTATATACAAGATATCAACTATTTACCAAGCACAATCCAAATTTTGGAAACTTATACAATACATGCTCAAAATTCACAACTACTATGGCATGTAAGATGTCAAATACAAAGTGTGCAATTCCTTACACATAGTAACAATATATTCAATAAGGAAAAACAAATTCTCATGAATATAAAAGTAACAACTATGTTATCCAATGCTTAAAAGTAATCAAGTGAACATACATCAAATCCAAATCCATGATTTAAATATAGAAACAACTTCCAAAATGCAATTAAATTCATGGAGTAATAAAGTAGAATTTAATTAAACATAAATAGTTAAATTCTCTAAATTCCGAGTGAATCCAAATAACCTCAATTTAATATATATTGAAAGACATGTCATGGTCATCATATATACAATATCAAATGACAAGTTAAGTGATTAAAACACTTAAAACAAAATTAATCAAGCTAATTAATTAATTTCCTCTAGATTTTTAAACAATTCCAAATGCCCTCAATTTAATCTATATTAGAGAACATGCCAAGACCTATTTAAATACCACATTACAACTTGATTTAATGCTTGATACAACCATGTGAATTAAACTTTCACTAAAGATAAATATTAAATAAAAGTTATAATTCTTACTCAAATGATCCAAATTTAATATATGTTAACTAACATATCTAAGCATAATTTCCTAGCATGTTACAATTCAAATCAAAGTTACATATCATCATAAATTTTAAATCTTATACAAATAAATAAAAATTACTAACTTTCTAAATTTGATACAAGGCATACATATATGTTGTATAATCATGGCAAACACAAAATACAACACACAAATAATCCTAGAACATTCCCTACCTCAATTGGAATGAAAATCCCAATTACCACCGAAATGAAATCGCCCCAAATTTTCGGTCCCCAAAACAGATTTTTCAGCTTGCTACTTTCAACTTGTAAAATTCATAAAAAATTCAATTCTAACCCAAATTGAATGAATCCAAAGCCCAATGAAAGCTTAAACACTGTAATTTGATAATATAAATTTAGTTTAACAAAATATTTTCCCAATTGAAACAGTTTTGACCCACAACTTTGAAACAAATTCTGCCCAGAAAACACATTTCAGCCTGTAGCTTCCAACTTTGAAAATTCATGAAAAATTCATTTGACATCCAAATTGGACAAACCTAATTTATTTTGGAAGTAAACATATGAGAGTGTAAAACTGGAAATTTAAGCCATGATCAAATGTCAAAAGGTTAGTGAAATAAATTATCTAAAAATATGTTTTCCAGCTGCAATAAAAACATGGACAGTAGATAGTTTTGGATTTTTAAAAAAATTTAGAAATGCTTTAAAATCGTGAAAAAAAATTTAGCAGTGTAAAACCCATGGAGGAAGTTCCAGTAAAAATTTCAAGGCAATTGAAGCACCACAGCTCCATATAAAAATTCATTTCTAGACCGAAAAGGAAAAGCTTTAAATTTCCAGCAACTAGCTTGCAACTTCAAAAATTCATAACTAATTCATTTGAAATTCAAATTACATGAAACCAAAACTAAATGAAAGATAATTGAGTATATTTTCATATTCTATATTTAATTTGACAAGATTAATTTCAAGTTTAAACAGTTTAAGGGCAAAATACAAGTCCTACTCTTCTATGCATGTAAAACACTCAATAATGATATAAAAATACTTCAAAATAATAGATCAATACCTCACTAGAGAATTGAATCTCTAGATACCAAAGCAAAATTAGGAGTTAGGCTGGATCCTTCAAGGGTTTTGAAGAGGATGATGAGGGGAACAAAAAGTATTCCAAACTTTATGGTCTAAAGTAAGTGGAAGGGCCTCAAAGATTAAGGTCAATGCCTAAGGCTTCAAGCTCCATCCATCGAGATTAAGGTTTTCTTGTAAGGAAGAGAATGAAATAATGTGGTTAAGTGTGAATGGAGGAAATAGAAATCCTCCACTCACTATGTGCTCTTACACCATGGTCAACACACACATCTGTAGTTAATTGCAAAAAAACCCTCCTTTAAAACCATAATCCCAAAGTGGCCCAAAGATATTTGCAAGACTAAATTGTGAACCTACACTTGTCACCAATCCATGCCTCCTTCCTAGGCTTAATCCCACACCTACACTTGTCAACCATCCAAGCCAACAAGTGCACCAATCCTAGGCCAACAAATGGGTGAATCCTCACCCTCCAAATGTCATCATCTAATGCATTAAAGTGTTTTCACACAAATGTTAACAAGTGGACCAATGAGAGTGGGACACTTGTCACACTTTTCAAAAATTACAAAAAGGTCCTTTTTGAAAATATCTTCCAAATTTAATTGCAAAATAGTCCCCAAGATGAAAAATAATTACTTTATTTAATTACACTAAAACCCCACAAGTTAAAGATAATTACACTAAAGTATGCATTAATGTCCCTTTATGAAAGAAGTAAGCAATTAACCTGCTTTTCTAGAAAAATAAAAATACAACTATCATGGAAATCAAATATCATGAATGCATGCAAAACCGGAATCAAATCCGAGCACAAAAAGTGAGGTTGTTCCAGGAAAAAGGATAAACGAGAAAAAGACAAAATATGAATAGTGTTCA